CCAGTCCTGCTCGCTACCAGCTGACCCGCCGTGCCGCAGCCCTTCTCCGCCCCCACAACAGTAAAAGTACGCATATTTGGTGTCGCCCCGCCCAGACACGCTCCGCCCGTGTCGGCACTCGGTGACATACATTTGATTCGATTCACGTGGCCATGCGAAAGAGAAAGAGAGAGACAGGTTGATTTTTTCCGCCCTGTCGCGATCGACTAAATGTTTCGCCCGACTTTGCTTCCTGGCGGGCGACGTGCTGTGTACCGTACACTCCTGTCGGCGCATACACACACATAACTTGACAGAAAACGGATATTTCATTTGGTCGCATGGCTATCGAACATGACGCACAGCCAGTGTCGAGAGGGCGCGCCGCCCGGCCCCAGGGTGGCGGGGACTGTACTGGGCTCGGGCTGCATACAGCAGCAGCAGGGCGGCGCCTTCCCCGCCCGCCAGACGTCCGCAAAGACGGAAAAGAAAATACAACCCATTGCCACCCATTCGAGGCTGCATGTCATCTTAGAGCACGCCCGCTTTTTATCCAACCTTCTCGATGCAACAAAAACATTTTTGGCACGACGGCGCCGGCCCGGCCCGGCAGGCTTTGATATCGGCCGGATAACGCTTTTGTCGTCGGCGTGACGTCCCCCGCGATCTCGTCGTAACCCTTCCGCGATTGTGCGAATTTGTTACGTGACCGTGGGAGGGGCAGCGCGCGGGGTAGGGGGTGGGGTCGAAGGGGAAGGCACATACGAGAGGGCAAGCAAAGTGCGAAGTTGTCTGCTTCAGTGATGAAAAATGTAACGGACTTTGCTGACATGCCAAAATGAACCCATCGTGGCAAGGTTGTTGTTGAACCCTCGGCCTGTTGCCTTGCCATTACGTACGTATTAACATATTTTTGCCAACTTCATACGGAAAGTAGTGTGTGACCCGCATGTGCAAGCGTGACCACGACACCGAGCGTGAGTAAGCACTAGATCCTCGAAACGTGGAAAAATGACGTGGCGCGGGGTGGTGGTGGGGTTGCCGGGGGGCCTGCGTAGGGGTGGTGGTTGAGCTCCGCAGGGTCGCGCGGACGCGCCGCGAGGACGTCTAACCTCAAACAGCGCTGCTCCCACCCCCCGCCCTGCACCCGACAAGGCACTGCGGACATTGCTCGCCGTCGCCTTCCGCGCTCACCCGCCGCCGGCCACACAAACTCACCCCATCTCTTGGCCGGGGACGCCGGGGGGTCGTCGTCGTCCCATCGCGAAGAGGCCCTCCTTTTCCTGGTGCACGTCCACTTGGTCATCGCGCCGGGGTGTGCCTGTGCCGCCATCGCTGGGCTCCACACCCCAGCCACGGCACGGCGCAGGGCCGGCCAGGGGCGGGCGAGGGCGGCGGGGCAGCCAACCCCCTGCCGCTCACGTCCCCGCAGCGGCGCCGCGCCCGCCCCCGCCAGGCTGGAGAGGGTGCTGGCGGGGCGGCAGGGGACAGAGGCGGCGAGGACTTGGACGAGGACTGCTGACATCTTATTACTGACTCTGCCGACTCTTAACATCTTTCACTGCATCTTTCCTTTGCTTCGCCTGCAACTGCAACCTGCAAATGAATGAAGGTACATACGCGTCAGGGGCCTGAAAGCTCCCCGGATTGGGACTTCCCTATTAGAGTTCCATGAGTCTGCGTTTCTCCAATAAGTTCTAAATAGTGATCTAGCGGATCACATCGCATGCTTTTTCCTAAATATCCCGCTGCTCCTCGGCTAGCGGTGAGGGTCTCCAGGCCACCAGTAAGCCGGTTTTTAAGTATTTTCCTGGCCTCCAGCCACGGCGCCCTTGTCCAGGACAAAGGGTGCTGTGAGAGGGAAACGGCGAGCGGGGCGGCAAGTTGGTAGCGCGAATGGCGTGATGGGTCCCGACCTACCACAACTGACTGGCCAGGCCAGGCGATGCGGCTTCCTCCACCCCCTCCAGATCAATACACGCCAAGGGAGGTCGTCGCAGAGCAGAGAATGTCAAGAACCGTCCGCGGTCGGCACTCAGGAGGGCGTGGAGAGGCATTCCGGTCGACACTGACAGGTTGCTAGGGGTTCAGCCTGGAAAATCACAGAACTTGAAATTTGACACTTGATATGAATCATTGACTGCCATACATCTTGCGCGCGTGCTTTAAACGTGTAAGCCTATTGTAGAACGGTAGACGGGGAATTCCCTTCTTTCACGGGTACACAGCCAACGCAAATCGACTTTATTTCATACCTGGCTAACAAATCGTGTGAAATTGCTGTCATTCGTTGGGATAGAGATCGGGGCCTCCTGCCGCACCAGTAAAACTCAGTCATTTGCAGTATTTGATATTTGAATGTGGCCTCCACAAGAAACGCAGTAGCTTCTATTCTTATTCGTTTCAAGTCATCAAAATTTTCCATGTCACATCATAGGAATATTTAATCTCCTGTACACTTTTCGTACGGTGTTGACGACTGTGTGACCATCGTCGTCATACATAAACCGATAGCCTTCTGTGCCCCGCCCCAAGGCAGAGCGCAGCGTGGGTGTTCGTGTGTGCCTATGAGATTAAAAAAGACAATATAAGGAGTAATCTCGGAATAATTTTACGTGAGTTATTTTATTACGTCGCTACTTGCCAATTAGGAGTCGAGTAAGAAAACCTGAGTCTGACGTAACAGTTAACTGATACCACTCCGATGATTTCTGCAGACACCGCAATTCAATTGAAACCGTTCATTGATTCTGCGTCACTTAGGCCCTTTGCAGAGGCCACCTAGGGGCAGGGACGGAGAATCTCTTTACAATCGACAAACAAGGCCTGAGGTTGTGAGGGGCGTCTGGCGCCTATTATTTTTCGATTATTATTCAAGAGGTCTGCTTTACGTAATGGCCACCCACCCCCATCCCACCCCGCTATGTAGATCTTCTGTGAGTTCCACTGTACAACTTATCAGAGGGCAATACTCATGCCTTCTTTCGCTAGTTAATCTCAATAACTATTCATTTCCTATGTGATCCGAGAGTCGCCAACACCTCGGCCGCGTCGTCACCCTCACAAAAGAGAGACCCCCAAAAAATACAAAGAGAAAGAGACGAAGACGAGCGATAGACAGTCGAGAAAAATCGCCCAAGGCGTTGATTCTTCTCGTTTTGTGTGCAATTCCCCCAGCCTGTTCGATGTGGCCCGCCCGCTTCGCGTGATGATCGATCGTGTCGGCATGGCACTAACAAATGTTGATAAACATAACACGTTGGGCACACGTGGTTGAGCGCGGCGGGGCCGGGCGGGGCGGGGCGAGGACGAGGCGTGGCAGGGGCGTGGGCTGATCAGTCGCAGGGCGTGGCGTGGCTCGGCCCCGCCCCGGGCTGGTGGGGCAGTCTTGATTGTGTGGCCATCGCAACGGCGCGTGGACGCTAGCCGGGACGCTGACCAGGTACATCGGAGATGCGTAAGGCTGATTGTAGAAAAAACAAGGCCCCCGAACCCAAGGAAGGCCAAAAAAGGGGGGGACGGGGGACGCCACTCGAGCAGCTCCGAGCAGCTCGAGGCTCCATCACTCATGGAGCAGAGAAGCCCTTCGCCAGTTTGCCGGACGGTCGTCGACAGCAGAGCAGACACACGAGTGCACATATAGGTAAGGGGGAATTCCCAATTTCGACGCAGAGATGTCGAGTTAAAAAAGTAACAAATACAATGCAATTATAGATTAGCCTAAGAAGTATGTATTATTTTCAAAATAAAAAAATGATAGACTTTAAAATCATCCATTTGATTTCAGCAACAAATACCCTGTCTGTTGGTTGCATACAAAGTACATACCTAGGTTACATTTGATACATCATGTATTTGCAATTCATTTAACAACACAAGTTGTTGATAAAACAATTACTGATATTTAGGCACTTTTACTTTAAAACAGGTACATAATTTGATGTGTGCATGGTTTAAGAAAGCATTTAATTTAAGTACTTTCAAGTAAATTTCTTTCTTTCTTTAGAGTTGAACTTTTCTGAACTATCAACTGTGACTAGATTGACAAATGCCAAAAGAAAAGTTAAATCAAAACAGGTCCTGTCTACAGGAATGTAAGAGAGAAATTATATCTAACCCTGACACCACAAAAGAAATGCTGGAATAAAATTTTACGGTAAAAGGAAGAAGAAATCTAGTCTAAGACCTTGTATCAGCACAAAACGTAACAAGTCTCAGTCAATCAGATATCTAAAAGAAAAAGAATAAAATAGGAAGACAGCGTACTATTGGTTATCATTTTTATCAGATGACTTTTTTGCTAAATTTTCCAAGTGAACTCCCATAGGGCCCAGCAAGTTTGATGCTGGACCTGCTCCACCCATTTGAGACTGATAAGACTCCAATATATTCTTCAAAGCATTCATGTCAATATCAACAGGTTGGAAATCTTCAACATCATCAAATGAGTCATCTTCCTGAACAGATTGTACCTGGAAAGATGAAGCGAAACAAATTAACTTTTGTAGAGGACATTTAAAGTTCCTTCAAGTGTGAGGTTGGTTTGCAGTGACACATATACTCCATGGTAACAATTTTATACCTTTTTCTCCATTTTTGATGCCTTCTTTTCAAAGCTTTGAGCAAGGGTGGTGTTGGCAAGTTCACGATCCATTTGATCCATGTATTGTTTTAATTCAGCATCTGGATTTCGCTTCTTTCCTGCTAAATAAATGTACCCACAGATAAACAAATTTCATCACCCAATATAAGGACCTTGTACGATATTGTTAAGAATAAACTATACTTTGAAAAATACCTGGCTTTATTTCATTAAGATCCATTTCACCCTCATCTTCATAAGAACCAATATCTGAATCATCTGAATCAGAATTCAAATCCCAAGAATCCTCTGGGATTGCAAAATCTATTGAATAGAAGATGATTTGATAAAAAAAACAATAACCACCAGTCAATCCATCACTAAACTCAGAGCTAGTTACCAACCTAGAATATTCTGAACAGCACAAGAGAATCCCTCCGGGTCAAAATTCAATTTACTGTCACCAGCCACATTCTCATTTTCTTCACCATTAGATTTTGGAGCGGTTGAACCCTCTGCTTTTCCAGAAAATGTCTTGGATGACGATTTTGATGTGCCTTGTCTGAATGAAAAAGTAAAACAGTTTTACAAACATTCGAAGACACACAATTTTTAAAATAATTAACACTCAGGTAAATATACTGACGTTGGAAATTCAGCTCCCTCCATCCCTGACATATATTCCAAGAAGCCTCCTAGAACTGTGGCTAAGCCACCTTGACCAGACAGCTGATCTTTTCTCATCCTATCCTTGACTGGGCCATACCGATTTTTCAGCATCAAATCCACTTCTTCTGGACTTATTTCTAGCCATGAATCATCTGCAAGGTAAGACAAGAACTTATTAGTTTGGAAATTTTTCCAAAAAAGTAGAATACAGCACTGATTACAAAAGAAATATATAACACCGAATACAGCTTACCATCAGGTGGAGGAATGTTTTTGGATTCTTCTTTTAGAGCCTTAATGTCCAATTTAAGAGAAGACATCCTTGATAAAATTTCATGACCAGCTGATGAATCAGGTAGAACTTTAGAAGATGATGTGCAGTTACTGAGATAAAATTCTTTAGCCTTATCGAGTAAAGTAGTGTACTCTTTGGAGCCTTCAAGGAGATCCTATTTGAATTAAACTACTGTTAGACATATACAATACCTTTACAAAGCAAAAAATAAAAGAATCAAAATTTTGTCATTGCATACCTTGAAATATTCCTTCTTCTTCAGGCTGTTCAAGTACATCGACCAGCCTCTATTGTCAGATAAATCACAAATTTGCACAGGTGTTGAACTCTGACCAGCATCAGGATTCTCTCCACATTTTTTAGCTCTATCAACAAGTATTTCAAAACCGCATGCCTGCAAAATGAATAAAATCAAACATGATTGTCTCAAGGAAGAGAACTTTCTCTGTTACTATGTACTACTACTTGAAATCTAAAAAAAAAAGTCTGTACAGATACATTTTAAAAACACATAAGCTATAAAGCTTAATACCTTACCACTTTGTAGCCTAAATTGTACATTTTAAATGTAGAAGAAGATGGGGGTGGTAACACCCATCCTGATCTTTTCTCAGGAACTGCTTTTTCATGGCAAAGCATAGCATACAGGCATTTTGTGAACAGTACACTAGTTGGCACACAATTGTCTGGCTTAAAATGGGCCATATTTCTACATGCCTATAAAAGAAGTGAATTAACAGCTGACAATTGATCATTTTAGTGCACAAATGGTTTAAGTGGATCAGGAAAATAAAAGTAAAACTGACCCTTTTATCAATAGGATCACGTTCGCAGAAAGCTCTAACTGCTGAGGCTATCAAACTGGGATTATCTTTAAGAAGAGCTGAGATCTCAGCTGGAATGGAAATTGTTGTCCTGTGCAGGTCTTCTTTGATTTTACTTGGATATCTGCAATGAATAAAGCAATTCTACCAATATACAGTAATTCTTACATGAATTTTACTCTTAAGTGCATTTTACATACCCTTCAATTCTTTCTTTGATAGCATTTTGGATAGGTTGAGGAGCTCGGGTGTTTTTAGGGCATGATCTGATAAGCTGAATTGCATCAACCACCGGAATCAAGTTTTTGGGCTCATCCTCTGAATCGTTTGTGTTTGTAGGAGGAATAAAATGAACCTCTCCTTGATAAAGATAAACCTGAACAAAGAAGACAAAGTAATAATGTCTGAGGTTGCATTTGAGATAATTACATACAAGGAATTCTACACACCCTTTGTCCACAGGTTTCTGGGTCAGCCCAGGGAGGGAGGAAGTCAGCAGCTTCAATGAGTAGAAATTCGCCATCAGTATCAATAACTCTGAAAACAATAAAAACTTCATGTGACTGACAAGTGGAAAAATGTTTAATCGTCAGGATTGCATGAAATTTCATAAACACACCTCACAACAAGTCCTGGTATATCTTTTGTCAGCTGAATGAGAAGATAAACAATAAACCACTCGTCTTCAATGTTGTCCCCAAAGTGTGTCGTTCCATGAAGATGAGGAGGTAATAATTCTGTAAAAAAAAAGTTTCAAAAAATTATGATAATTAGTAAGAGTTGAAGAAAACCAATGACGACCTTTCGAGGAAGAAAACACATTAGAAACACCTGTAAGTTACAAGGAATTGAAGGTTATCATGTGGACGAAGATACATCGTAGGCATAGATTTTTGAATTGACATGAGGGTTAAAAAAGAAGCAAACAAAATAAAACAGCTTGTCCTCAATTGTGTGTGAGACAAAATAAAATGTAAAATATCTTACCTGATTCATCATCTAGGATAGGGGCTGTGTTGAAGGGGTCTTTGTGCCATATATATTCACTCTTGTGCTCAGCTGCACAACAACTTATGACAGAAAAAATGTTTCTCAAATAGTCATTAACTTCGTCCTTAGAAGTGGAACTGGGTATTCCATCGGGGAAAAGGAAATATTCAACATAATCCTCGGCCTGAACATCCTCCAAAGCGCTTGCCATTTTCGATCACAAACACTAGCTAACAATAGTGCTGTTAAGGCTTTCTTTGATTATTTGCAGGTAAAGATGACAAATTGCGCAAGTTGGTCGTGGATTTCCCGCGTGGTGAGAGGGAACCCTCAGCCCTCATCTCATCTTGAAACCAATTTTGTCAATGATTTTTGATAATGTTGTTACCTGTTGTTACAATGTTATTTCGAAGTTAAGATTTTTTTTATAGCAAATATTTAGAGTTTTAGTTGACAGGTAAATAACTGTTCTGTTGAAGTGTGATAACGAAAACAAGGCTAACTGTTCTATTTGACTGTTCATCAGAGTATCGGAGTACTCTTGAAGGAATGGTGAGTAATGATTATTTTTGTTGACTGGTTTTGCTTTGTGGAATTGGACTCAACTAATGGCCCCAACCTTAAACGTCAGAGTAGATCTGAAAACGTGTAGAGGACAAAAAGTTTTAATTGGGCAGAGACGTTTACGCCAAACTATTAGAACAGTTAAATATTTATTGAATCAGTTGTAATTATTGCAGTTCTGATGAGTTCAAGATGAACAAAATGCTTTGAAGTCCTTATTGATGTTTGTGAATTAGATAAATAGATTAATGAAACAATTGTGTAAGTAAAACAATAAACAAATCTCGCATTGACTCAATCATCGTCAGCTTCTAGATTGATATGATTTCCAAATTTAGCGTATAACTTGGCACGGAGATCTGACATAATTTCCTTAATGTCTCCGCATTTCTGATCTATTTCTGCCATTTCTGACTCTGCTCGAGATTTTGCTTCTTCAAGGGAGCTCTAAAGAACATGATAAAAGGTTTTACTCACTTATACTTGATGCAAAATATATCAAAGCAGTACGAGAAAGATAAGTACCTGAGTGTCTTCAAAGTTTTGAGTTATAAAGGATTCCCCCATAAAGAAGGGTACTTTTTCAACATCACCTTCCAGTAGGGCAAGTTCATCACAGGCATCTTGGAGGTTTGTTAGATACTCCTATAGAACAAAAGAAGAGTCATTAGTGTTCATTTAGATTCAGATGCTCGCTAAAATTACCGCTAACAATTGGATGAGTTCTCTGAGAACTTGTCGTGGAGATTGATCCATATCACACACTTCATTTTATAAGAAAGAAGAAAGAATTTCCATACAAATTGTACCTTTTTAGTTTTGATTTCTTCTTTCAGTTCATCCAACTTAGCATTGTGTCGTGCAAATTTGTTAATCATTTGCTGGTCTTCATAGGTGATGTGAACGTCAGACTCCTGCAACATGGAAACAAGGCTGTCAGGATACCATTGCGGCAGTTTAAGGAAGAAATGAACAGTTAGTGGTTAGTGGAATAAACCCTTATTCAATAATTTAAAGATAAATTAATGTCACTTTTCTGTGTGAGACAACTATAAAAGTCCCCTATAGTTCCTCATACTAAAAGTTAGGTTAGTTTAGAATGTTAAACTTGATGACAGTCTTACCGGTTGAAATGAAGTCTTCGAATTTGTGGCTAACGCTGCCATGATTTATTTTTTAAAAAATAGAGAGGTTACTTTAAGTCGAGTTGAAAGTTAACTGTGATCTGGCGAGAAAAATGACAGGGTGCGGTGTGGTGGTGTGTTTTCCACGGCTCCCCGTCAAACTACAACAAAAGGGACGTTTATTGGCAGTCGAAAAGGGAAAACAACTTACCAATGTTTTATGTAAGGTTAAATGTACACTTGGTACCAGAGCGGTTCAAACTTGGCCGTAGAAAAGCTTCTTCGTTTCCAAATTCTTAAAACGTATTTAAATTAATATTTCCTTCACAATTTTCGGGAGTTCATGCGCATGATGTGCTCATGTTTTGGCGGCACTGTTGCCCGTCTCCCGCCATTGATGTAGGAAAATTCAAAATTGAAGAATAGTAATTTCGATTCTCCATGGGTGTTATATCGTTTGTAATCAACTGTTTTACAGTTATTTGCGTGAGCGAAAACAATTAGTTCAACATTTTCTCCCCATTTTACCGGCTGTCGGTGAATTGAAGTGGAGCCAATTCTTTTCGCGGTACTGCTGCAAGTACCGAGTACTACACATACAAGCACGCACCGGAGTGTTACGGGCGTGCCCATCGACTCAGGCATCGTGCACTCGGGCCGCGGCGCGGGGGCAGTGGATGGAACCCTACGGGACAGGGGTAGGCAAATCCATAAAACGCCTCCGACGCATGCAAAGAAACACCCGGTGGGTGAGACGGGCATTCCCCCTCTATGGTTGTCGCGGCGCGGTTTTCGGTTGGGACGAGCCGGGCATAAGGGGCAGGGAGGGCAACGTAGAGACGGGAGGGAAAATATACTTTCCCCTCTGCCCCATGTCGTCAGCCCCCCCTCCCCCCGGCCGCGCCCCCGAGAGCCCCCTCCCCCGACGACGTGTGCTCACTAGCGTGCGTGCGCGTCCCCAAAGGGACAGTTAAATTCACCGGCCTAATGAAGCGGCCGTGTTCCGGGTCACACGCGGCCCGCAAATGGAAATGTTTGCGGCGGCGGCGGCGGCGGAAACGCGCGGCAACATGTAAACTGGCACGATTAATGTCCCCGCAATTTGCTTCATCTCTCCCCCCGCCCGACGACGACGATCTTCTTTTCCTCCTGCGAGGCAGCAGCAGCTTCACGCGCAGTGTGCTGGCTGCTGGCGCCGTGTCGGGGTAGTGACCCCTCATCAGGCGCCCCCCACCCCACCCTCCCCGCAGCGCGCCGTGTCCCCGCCGACGCCGACGCCACGAGCACAGAGATTTTTCTCGAGCGACTAATTGAATTAGGAATGGCGATTGCCGTAATGAGCCGCAGACGCCTGGTCTGGCGCGGCGGGCGGCCAGCGGTGGGTTGGGTCGGGTTGGCCCGGGGGATCAGGGGGGCGACGGTACCCCAGCGAGGGAAAGCTCACAGTGCGGGGCCCACTGGCTCTGGCTGCGCTCATGCGCCGTCGAGTAACCCTGAGTGAGGAGTGTTGTCGTAGCAAAGACATAAGCGGCTGTCGGCTGCCTAGCCAGGGTAGGCGGGAGATGAGGTGGGGGTCATGACCTCATCACGCACTGAAAACCCAACTGTGTGCATTTATCATACTGCTTCATGCAGTGTGCCTCCTGCAAGCAATGTGCGTGTAGGGCAACCCCAGGGCAACGGCGCCTGGGGCACAAGAGTGTTGTTAATTTCGTACATGCTGAGTTTAGCCGCATGACCGCGCATCACGCATCTTACTGAACCCAGTATGAGAAAGACAGTTTCGCGTTGGACGCCGACGCCACGGGGTAGTGTAGGTGGCCGGCATGTTGGTGTCGCTTGGTACTTTTGGCACGGCGGTGGAGGGGAGTTGGGAGTTGGGGGTAGGTTGGGGCTGAGGCCGAGGACATGAGGGGCTGTTTTGAGCTGGCAGCCTGAGCAGTGAGAGAGAGAGAGGGAGAGAGAGAGGTGCGAGGCGGGCCGGCGAGCCGAGCGCCGCCCCGCGGCCCCGACAAGAGGTCACCGGTCCCCCTCGGTGCCTCCCTCCCCCACCCCCCGGCCGTAGGCTGGTCCAAAGCAACCCCCCGGCCGCGCGCTCCGCTCGGCCCTCTCCTCCCCCACCGAGCGCGCGCGCGCGCCGCTCCCCCAGTTGCCGAGCGCTGCTCGCCGGGCTCAGACGCAGACGCGCGCGACGGCACGCGGGGTGGTACGCGACGACGCCGGCCCGGTCACAGGAGGCTGCGCTGGCGCTCAGCAGGGCCCTGCCGGCGCGCGCTCACCGCGAGCAGACGCCCGCCCGCGGCCCGCCGCCCCCGCGCCCGCCCCCCGGCCGGCGCCACGGCGCTCCG